GACGCTGCAGCAAACACCCAACCCAACGCAGCTACCTCACCAGACTCAGCAACGGGAGGAGACTCTGTAGTCAGTGTGTATAGGCTCGACCCCGGCTGACGGGTAAACGTGGCCAAGTGTCGGCCCGTCCGAGCACAGGTACAGTGGGTCACCCGCTGACTCGCAGGAGTGAACTGGTCAACCCCCCCATCCTGTAGATCAGCACCAATCACCAAGTTCGTAGAGAACGAGGGGAGGTAGAGACCTGACAGGGCGCTAGAAGGGGCCGCCAGACACTGTAAGAAAGTGGAGAAGTGGGCAAGGACAGGATGTGAGAATGAGAAAATGGATGAACTAACACAAGGTTGGGTACAAGTAGGAAACCCTAGGAAACTGTACCCCATAGTGTCTACCCCACAATAGCCTAGACAAGCTATATAATATGAGTTTGACACACCCCCATAGGCAAAGTGGGAGAACAAGAGGTCACAAGACTAGTCAAGGAAAGCAAAGTAAGCTCAGGGTGGATCACAACGTCACCACACAATCCGAGCACAAGAGCAAGGCCAAAAGGCCAGTTCACATGCAAGATCATATATAAAGGTAAACAAGCAAGTGCAGGTATAGAAAGATCACAGTACAAGCAAGGTCAAGAAGTGAGCAAGTGAGGCCAAGTAGGCACAAGACCTAGCATCGTACAGAAGCGCTGATGATCACCAGGCGAAAGCGCCTTGGTAAAGATATCAGCAGTGTTGGCCTCAGAGGCCACGTAAGCAAGACGCAGCTGACCACGCTGCTGCAGCTCATGAGCAAGGAAGTAGCGGAGAGCAATGTGCTTCGTTCTGTGCTCCAGTCTGTGCTCCCGACACAAGGCCAGCATGGCCTTGTTGTCTACGTACAGAACTGGAGGAGAATGAGGCGGCTCTCCTAGGTCAGTCAGCAGGTAGGTGAGCCAGCGTAGCTCCTGTGCAGCCATGGCCCCCGTGTAGATCTCAGCCTCACAACTGGAGCCGAGAACAGAAGACGAGCGGGTAGACCGCCACGAAACAAAGCCGGAGCCAAGGCTGAAGGTGTAACCCTGTGACGACCGCTGCGTAGCCTGGTCGTCAGCCCAAGAAGCGTCTGCGTGACCTGTGAGGACCACTCGACGTCGCCCTCCAAGCACTAGCCCCATGCCCGATGTACTGCACAAGTAGCGCAACACCCTCTTTGCTGCAGCCATGTGCTCTGGTCGGTGTCTCCCAGGAGCAACATAACGTGCCAAGATGCTAAGAGGGTATGCAAGGTCAGGTCGTGTGCAGGTCATCAGGTACATGAGGCAGCCAACAAGCTCTGGGTACGGGCCACTCGGCTCTACGGACTCATCCGAAGGCAGAGCTGAGAGCGAGTGGCGAGTAGACAGAGGAGTGGCCTGAGGCGAGGAGTACGTGAAGTCAAAGCACTGAAGGACCTGCTGCACCATGTGTGATTGTGTCAAGGTAATGGTGCGCTGTGCTCTGTCCCATGTGATCTGCAAGCCAAGGTAGCTGCGCAATTCACCCAGGTCTGTGCACGTGTGTCTCTTCTGCAGCTCGGACTTCACGTGGGCTAGTCCAGCAGTGTCAGCAGTGGCAAAGACCAAGTCGTCGACGTACACGAGTATGTAGAACGGCGGCAAAGAGGTGTCGGTGCGCAGAAACAGTGACGGGTCGGCAGTAGAAGGAGCAAACCCAAGTGTGAGAATACTAGTAGCAAGGCTTAGGAGCCATGCCGAGTTAGGTGAAAAGCGAATGAGTTCGAGGGAGTTTAGGTGAGTAAGAAGATTGCAACAAAAGAGGGTGTTCACTGTAGAGCGAGCAGTACAAATAGGCAAGAATGAAGAAAGGTGCACCACCAAACAGAAAGTTATATGACTACAGTAGTCTACACTACAGGCAGTTACAAAACAATATATAGAATTATATATTATTCTGACACGCCCCCATAAGTGCCTGTAGGAAAGAATGTGCAGTCAACGCCCCTATAATGGGGTACACCAGACAGGCCGCAGCGGAAATCATAGCAGCAGGCAAGTGCAGTGGCAACCGGTGCAGTGATGGCAGATCCAACTGTACCAACCCCTTTACCAAGGTAGAAATAGTAGCAGGTGTTGGGGCGGCAGGTCGCCTGAGGAGCTGGTTCTGTGGCTGCAACATGCAGAAGGACAGCAGCGGCTCGACGGCAGCACCTGCAGGCCCCAGCAGTAGGTAGCAGAAGCAAAGACAGCAAAAGGCAGGTGGTAGCAGGGGCGGCAGCTGGAGGTGCCACGGCAGCAGCGGGCGACAGCAGCAGATGACCGGCTGACTTCCGTCGCCCCCTCACTCCCCCCCCCACAGCGGCACGTGCGGCAGTGAGAGAGAGAGGAGGGGCAGCAGCTTCTTGCTCACACCCGCCACCCCAAAACCACCCCCCCACACTGCTGCACGCGCAGCAGGGAGAGAGAAGGGACGGCGTGTGGCGGCGTAGCGGTGTGGCGCAGCAGCGAACAGAGTGGCGTCAACCAACCTCGCGCCTCCCCCTCCCCCCCCCCCCCCCCCCCACCTTCGTCCACAGCGGAAGACACGGCAGCGGGCGTGGTTGGCGTTGGCGAGATCGCGGGTAGGGGGGGGGAGTAACGGGGGGGTGCAACAGGTGCCGCGACGAGCGCCTTAGTACAGCTCGCCGTCGCTTGCGTGGCAGCTGGAGTGGTAGCAGCCGCATGTTCGACGGGAGGGCGGGGCAGGGGGCGCGTTTGGCGACTGAAGCAGCTCGGCCGCCACACCCGCCATCTCACCCCAAAGCGACCGTCGATGCAGATGATCGGGGCCGCGACAGGGCGTGACGAGGTTGTAGAATGGCGTGACGGGGCCGCCGACTGGGGCCGCGACGAACAGCACTAAGCTCGCCACGCTCAACTTCGCAACCTTCACGACGAGCGGCTGAACAGGCACAGCTGGGGCCGCGACGAGCGCCATGGCAAGAGCGATATGCGGTGGGCCCATGGAAAAAAAAAAATCAGGTCCTAGGATAGGAACCACTCTGATAACAAGTGAGAATACTAGTAGCAAGGCTTAGGAGCCATGGCGAGTTAGGTGAAAAGCGGTTGAGTTCGAGTGAGTTTAGGTGAGTAGGAAGATTGCAACAAAAGAGGGTGTTCACTATAGAGCGAGCAGTACAAATAGGCAAGAATGAAGAAAGGTGCACCACCAAACAGAAAGTTATATGACTACAGTAGTCTACACTACAGGCAGTTACAAAACAATATATAGAATTATATATTATTCTGACACCAAGAGCCGCAAGTGTAGTCCTCAGTGTGTCGTGCCACTCACGGGGCGCCTGGCGAAGACCGTAGACTGGCCGCCGGAGGCTCCACTGGGTACCAGGGGGAAACGACCCAGTGAAGCCAGGCAGGCGGCGCAGCCAGATCTCCTCGTGCAGGCTGCCCTGCAAGAAAGCTATGCTGAAGTCAAGAGAGTGAAGCTCGTAGTCGCGCTGAGCGGCTATGTGCAGCAGCACCCAAAGAGTGGTCATCTTCGGGGTGGGAGAGAAGGTATGAAAGTAGTCAACTCCCTGCCGCTGACTGAAGCCTCGAGCCACGTAACGCGCCTTGAAGACAAGCGGAGAACCCGGCGGCCGCTTCACCCTGAAAATCCACATGCCACTGAGGATGTTCGCCCCAGGTGGGGGAACCTCGTCGACGTAGGTGCCTGTGGACTTCCAGGAAGCCATCTCTGCGTCCATGGCTGACTGCCACTATGAGGAGTAGGGACCCTCGATCGCCTCAGCGTACGATCGAGGAGTCGGGATGTCTGGTGCATCCGGGTCTCCCTCAGGGGCAATCAGCGTGGACACGAGATGAGGCAAAGAAGCAGCAAAACACTGGAGCTCCTCCTGCCTGTCCTCAAGGACGTCCGTGCTCAGAGCACACTCACCTCCGGCGGACGGAGGACAGACAGAGTCAGACTCAGCAACAAGACTAGCGGCGTAGTCGAGACGACAGCGAGCAGCAAAGTCGACAAGCTCAGCCACTAAGGCAGACGCAACAGTGGACTCAAAGGAAGGGTCAGTGACAACAGTAGCCAAGAGACGTGTGACAATAAGACTGGCAGCACGAAGAGAGTCAGAGGAGCAGTGGAAGGACGTAGTGCCATCTGGTGTGTGCTTGGGATCGTAGGAGGACGTGGACGCGGAACACGACGACTAGTGCGAGCAACACAAACAGGCGACGCAGGACGAGATGCAGGCTCACGACGCTCAGCAAGACCTCCAGTAGGACCAGTGCAGGGAGAAGGAGCAGGAAGAGGGGAGGCGGGCTGTAACTGTGACTGCGACTGAACAGGCTGCGGACACTCGACCAGTAGAGGGCAGGAGACCAAGAACCTGCTCGAGGAGCGGAACAAAGTACGGCCGCGGCTTCGCAGCGTCTCCAGAACCAGCATGGAAAGCACCAGTACCCCCAGCGGCAGCACCAGCGCCAGCAGTACCTCCAGCTCCAACAGCGCCAACTCCAGCACCCTCAGAAGCACCAGCGCCAGCAGAACCACCAGCGCCAACACCCTCAGCAGCTCCAGCTCCAGCAGGACCGGCAGCTACAGTACTGCCAGCAGCTCCAGCAGTACCTCCAGCAGGACCAACTCCAGCAGCCCCAGCAGCACCCCCAGTCCCAGCAGCTCCAGCACCGCCAGTACGAGTACCTCTGGGACCAGCAGCAACAGTAGTACCTCCAGCTCTAGCAGCACGGCTCTAGCGCTGGGCAAACCACTCGCGCAGCTCCTGTGGAGAGAGTGGCTCCCGCCTCGACGAAGCACCGCCGGCAGCCACACGAGCAGACCCAGCACCCCCAGGCTCTGCACCCCCAGGCTCAGCACCCCCAGACTCAGCACCCCCAGGCTCAGCACCCCCAGACTCAGCACCCCCAGGCTCAGCACCCCCAGACTCAGCACCTCCAGACCCGGCACCCGCAGGCTCAGCACCTCTAACAGCACCAGAGTCAACAGCTGCCTCGACAAGCTCGACTGCGTCTACCTGGGACACACCTGACGGGGCAGGACCCTGAGGGGGGAGGGGGTCTACCAGGGGAGACCAGAGACAAGGACACGGGAGGCCATGCCTCGGAGACGAGGCAGGGAGGGGTAACCAAGACGGTGGTGCCAAAGGAGAGTCTGGTAGGACAGGAGACGACACGAGCAGGGAGCAGACTCAGGACCAGACCTGGACGCTGCAGCAAACACCTGACTCGACGCAGTTACCTGGCCAGACTCAGCAGCCGGAGGAGACTCAGTAGTAAGTGTGTACAGGCTCGACCCTGGCCGACGGTTGAACGTGGCCAAGTGTCGGCCTGTCCGAGCACACGTGCAGTGGGTCACCCGCTGACTCGCAGGAGTGAACTGGTCAACCCCCCTATCCTGTAGGTTTGCTCCACTCACCAAGTTCGTAGAGAACGAGGGGAGGTAGAGACCTGACAGGGTGCCAGAGGGGGCTGCCGGGCACGGTAAGATAGTGGAGAAGCTAGCAAGGTCAGGACCCCCAGAGGGGTCCGCCAGGGAGACTGCAACCGGCCGACTAAGCGGCGTAAGCGTGGTGCGGTCTCGAAAGAAGGAGAGGGAATCACCCGAGTCAAGGGTGAAGGTGTGTAAGGCCTGAGCCGATGTATTACCTGAGAGAGCAGACTCACGAGCACCTGGGGCAGCAGACGCACTAGCACCTGGGGCAGCAGACGCACTAGCACCTAGAGCAGCAGCCTCACCAGCACCTAGAGCAGCAGCCTCAATGCCCGGGTCTGGCGGAACACACAGGTAACAGTCACCCTCATCACTAGTAGACACAGCATACATGGCAGCAAGAATAGCATCATAGTCAAGATCATAGATGGCAACCCCCGCCCTAGACAGATCTCCCCAGCGAGGGATCTCTGACGCCTCAGGGAACTTGTGACGCCACGCGTCTGTCAGGCGGCCGAAGCAACGCTGGGTGGAGTGCGGGCCCCCGCACTGCTCACCAGCGCGGTCGCCGGTACGGAGGACGTTAGTGCAGGGACTAGTACCTCCACCGCGCTGACGTGCAGCGTACCACTCACGAAGCTGCTGAGGGGACAGGGCCTCACGACTGCGCTGCTACTGCTGGCGCGGACCGCCACCGGACCCACTCCTCTGCCCAGAGTCGCAACCAGCTCCACCGCCGCTGCCGCCGCCGCCTCCGCCGCCTCCGCCACCTCCGCCGCCTCCGCCACCTCCGCCGCCTCCGCTCCCTCCGCCACCACCGCCGCCTCCTCCACCTCCCTTGCTGCCACCGCCGCCGCCACCCCCGCCACCACTCCCACCACCACCCCCACCCCCTCCACTACCTCCACCACCACCTCCACCGCCCCCGCTAGCCCCTCCAGCTCCCTTGCCCCCCTTGCCCTTGCCGGTGCGGCGTCTCCCGCTAGGGGCAGACGCAGCGCCGACCCCGTAGAAACCAACGAGGTCGGCCGCAGCAGCAGAAGCAACAGAGGGCAAGAGGGGGGAGGGGGAACACCCCTCAAAGACGGGGGTGCGAGGGTCACCACGAGAGGCTCCTACAGCGACTAAGCTCTTCTCTACTGCTAGGAGGTGCTCCTCGAGGAGGTCAATGGTGAGTGTGGTGGGGCAAACAGAGACGAAGTGGTTCCTGACTAAGCAAAGAGAGTCAGGGAGGCGGGTGACTATATAGTAGAGGGTGATGTACATGGGGGGGGGGGGTTCTTGGCGCAGAACTCAGCAGGAAGCGCAGCGCGGTAGCGAGTGTCACTAGTGCGGAGGTGCGTAATGAGGTCAGCGACTGTGGGAAAGGCAGCAAGGTCAGGGAAGAGGTACGGTAGCATGAGGCGGCTCAGTGCAGCAGTGGCAGGGGAAGAATAGCCTGCAACTACAGCGTCGTACAAGGTCTAAGCACTCTTGTACTGGCTAAAGTGTGCATGCTCAGTGGTCGGTAAGTGGCGACGCACAGCAAGACGGGCAGCAGCATCACGTGTCGCCCACTGTGAGCGAACAGTGCTGTCAGCAGTAGCAGGCGGGGCAGGGGAGGCACCAGAGGTGAGGTCGAACAGGGAGAGGCCGTCTGCCCTATCGCACTGGAGGAACAGCTGGAGGTCATCGACCCAGACCTCAAAGTCAACAGCACGACCCTCAGTATCAAGGGTAAGAACACTGGGGGTAGCCATGACTGAAGTGGCCTAGCAAGGAGTGAGCTCACCAGTCCGAGTAAGGAGGGTCGGGGCGTGCCGGTAGGACTAGTAGCGGCTCGACGGCAGGGCGGCTCGGCGGCTCAGCGGCTCGGCTGCTGGGCGGCTCGGCTGTCGGGCGGCTCGGCTGTCGGGCGGCTCGGCGGTTCGGCTGCTGGGCGGCTCGGCGGCTCGGCTGCTGGGTGGCTCGGCTGTCGGGCGGCTCCGCGGCTCGGTTGCTGGGCGGCTCGGCGGCTCGGCGGCTCGGCTGCTGGGCGGCTCGGCGGCTCTGCTGTTGGGCGGCTCAGCTGTTGGGCTACTCAGTAGAGGCGGCGTTGGGGCCACTAGGGGCGGCGACGGGGCCGCGTAGGGAGGGGAGCGGCGACAGGGCCGTGTAGTGTCGGCTATGGGGCCGCGTAGGAAGGGGGGCGACGACGGGGCCGCTAGGGGCGGCGATAGGGCCGCGTAGAGGCGGCGACAGGGCCGCGTAGGGGCGGCAACGGGGCCGCTTAGGGGCGGCGACGGGGCCGCTTAGGGGCGGAAGCGGGGCCGCTTAGGGGCGGCGACGGGGCCGCGTAGGGTTAGAGGCGGCGACGGGGCCGCTAGGGGTGGCAACGGGGCCGCTAGGGGCGGCGACGGGGCCCCGTAGGGGCGGCGACGGGGCCGCGTAGGGTGAGAGGCGGCGACGGGGCCGCTAGGGGCGGCGACGGGGCCGCGTAGGGTGAGAGGCGGCGACGGGGCCGCTAGGGGCGGCGACGGGGCCGCTAGGGGCGGCAACGGGGCCGCGTAGGGGCGGCGACGGGGCCGCGTAGGGGGCGGCGACGGGGCCGCGTAGGGTGAGAGGCGGCGACGGGGCCGCTAGGGGCGGCAACGGGGCCGCGAGGGGGGCAGCGACGAGGCCGCTAGGGGCCACTAGGGGCCTGGAAAGGGCGGCGAAAAAGGCGCGCCTCGGGCAGGAGCGACTGGCGCTCCGGTCAGAAAGGAAAATTTCAGTGGTGGGTCCAAGGAAGCATTCCCACTAGGGAACCTGCTCTATACCATGTGAGAATGAGGAAATGGATGAACTAGCACAAGGTTGGGTACAAGTTGGAAACCCTAGGAAACTGTACCCCATAGTGTCTACCCCACTATAGCCTAGACAAGCTATATAATATGAGTTTGATACAGGACCCCCAGAGGGGTCCGCCAGGGAGACCGCAACTGGCCGACTAAGCGGCGTAAGTGTGGTGCGGTCTCGAAAGAAGGAGCGGGAAGCACTCGAGTCAAAGGGTGAAGATGTGTAAGGCCTGAGCCGGCGTGGTACCTGAGAGAGCAGACTCACCAGCACCTGGGGCAGCAGACGCACAAGCACCTAGCACAGCAGCCTCACTACCACCTAGAGCAGCAGCCTCAATGTTCGGGTCATGTGGAACACACAGGTAACAGTCACCCTCATCACTAGTAGACACAACATACATGGCAGCAAGAATAGCATCATTATCCATATCAAAGATAGCAACCCCCGACCTAAGCACCTCGCCCCAGCGGGGGATCTCAGTGGCGTCAGGGAACTGGAGACGCCAAGCGTCCGTCAGACGGCCGAAGCAGCGCTGGGTGGTGTGCGGGCCACCGCACGGCTCACCAGTGCGGTCGCCGGTACGCAGGACGTAGGCACAAGGACCAGCACCCCCACCCCGCTGACGCGCAGCGTACCACTCACGAAGCTCCGGGGGGGGGGGGTGGGGTCTCATGAGTGCGCTGCTGCTGCTGGCGCTGACCACCACCGTAACCGCCCCGCTGCGCAGAGCCACCCCGGCCAGCTCCACCGCCGCCGGCGCCACCTCCGCCACCGCCGCCACCGCCGCCTCCTCCGCTCCCACCGCCACCGCCGCCACCGCCTCCGCCTCCACCGCCGCCACCAAAGCCCCCACCCCCGCCACCACTCCCACCGCCACCCCCACTCCCTCCGCCGCCTCCACCACCACCTCCACCGCCACCACCAGCTCCTCCAGCGCCCTTGCCCCCCTTGCCCTTGCCGGTGCGGCGTCTCCCGCTAGGGGCAGACGCAGCGCCGACCGACTCGGTGCCAACGTAGTCGACGGAAGTAGCAGAGGCAACAGAGGGCAAAAGGGGGGAGGGGGAGCACCCCTCAAAGAAGGGGGTATGAGGGTCACCACGAGAGGCTCCTACAGCGACTATACTCTTCTCAGCTTCCAGGAGGCGCTCCTCGAGGAGGTCAACGGTGAGTGTGGTGGGGCAAACAGAGAGGAAGTGGTCCCTGACCGAGCGAAGGGAGTCAGGGAGCCGGGTGACTATGTAGTAGAGGGTGATGTACATGGGGGGGGGTTCTTGGCGCAGAACTCAGCAGGAAGCGCAGCGCGGTAGCGGGTGTCACTAGTGCGAAGGTGCGTAATGAGGTCATCGACTGTGGGAAAGGCGGCGAGGTCAGGGAACAGATACGGTAGCATGAGGCGGCTCAGGGCAGCAGTGGCAGGGGAAGAGTAGCGTGCAACTACAGCGTCGTACAAGGTCTTAGCACTCTTGTACCGACTAAAGTGTGCGCGCTCAGTGGACGGCAAGTGACTACGCACAGCAAGACGGGCAGCAGCATCGCGTGTGGCCCACTGGGAGCGAACAGTGCTGTCAGCATCGGCAATAGGGGCACGACAGGCACCAGACGTGAGATCGAACAGTGAGAGATCGTCTTTCCTATCGCTCTGCAGGAAAAGCTGCAGATCATTGACCCACACATCAAAATCGACAGCCCGACCCTCAGCATCAAAGGTGAGAACGCTAGGGGTAGCCATGACAGCAGCAGCAGCAGGCTAACAGCAATAGCAGCAGGCGCGGCTCGGCGGTGCTCTTACCAGGGCGGGTGGGTAGAGGCCCGCAGGTGGTGGGGCAGGGCCGAGGCGCGTCGGCAGGGACAGGGCCGCGACTGCGGCGGCGGCTCCCACTGTCGGCGGTGGCGGCGGCTGCGGCCCTAGCAGCGGCGGCTGTCACGGCAGCGGCGGCGGCGGCTGCTGCTGTCGGCGGCTGCAGCGGCTGCGGCCCCGGTAGTGGCGGCGGCGGCTGGCACGGCAGCGGCGGCGGCTGCTACTGTCGGCGGCTGCTGCTGTCCGCGGAGGAGCCGAGAAGGGGCCGCCAAGGGCGGCGAAGGGGCCACGAAGGGCCGTGAAGGGGCCGCGAAGGGTGGCGACTGGGCCGAGACGGGGCCGTGAGGGGCCGCGAAGGGCGGCGACAGGGCCAAGAAGGGGCCGTGAGGGGTCGCGAAGGGCGGCGACGGGGCCGAGAAGGGCGGCGACGGGGCCGCGAAGGGGGGCGACGGGGCCGCGAGGGGGCCGCGAGGGGCCACGAAGGGGCCGCGAGGGGCCGGAAGGGGCCGCGAAGGGCCGTGAGAGGGGCCGCGAGGAGCCGCGGAGGGGCCGCGAGGGAGCCGCGAAGGGGCCGCGAGGGGCCGTAAGAGGGGCCGCTACGGGGCCGTAAGAGAGCGCGATGGGCCACTAAGGGCAGGGGACGCGACGGGAGGGCTGGCACACGGGGCGCAACTCGAGCAGGGGCGAAGCATGCTCCGGGCAGGAAAAAAAAAAACGATTTTCGGTGGGCCCTAGGAAACGTTCCCACTAGGGAACTTGTTCTATACCATGTGAAAGAACGAGGAATCAATGCACTAGGAAACGGGTTGGTACAAGTAGGAAAACCTAAAAGTGTTTTACCCCATATAATCTACCCCACTATAGCCTACACAGACTATAGCATATAAGTTTGACATAGAGGAGCTGAGGCGCCGCGGAGCAGAGCAGGGGAGGGAGTCTCCAAGGCATGGAAACGCCAGCAATCAGTAGGAATTGGGCCAACTACTGACGAGACTGCCTGCTCGCCCAACCCCACCGACCCTCACTGAGTCACAGTACCGATTCACGCCATCAATCGGGCTCGGACGAATAAGGAGGGTACAGCGACGGATTTCATGTTGAAATGAACGAACACGAATGATTGAACTAACAGTGAAATCAGTACAAGTACCTAACCCTAGAATTGTGTACCCCCTATAGGCTAACCCACTGTAGCCTAAACAAGCACAACATATATAATGTTTGACACACCCCCATAGGCGAAGTGGGGGAGAACTAGGGGTCACAAGACCAGTCAAGTAAAGCAAAGCAAAGCAAGCTCAGGGTGGATCACGAAGTCACCACACATTCCGAGCAAAAGTTCAAGGCCACAAGGCCAGTTCACATGCAGGAGTACATATATATATAGGGCTAGACAAGCAAGAGCAAGTATATATATGTGTAACAGTACAAGCAAGGTCAAGAGGTGAGCAAGTGAGGCAAGACAGGCACAAGACCCAGCTGGGTGCAGAAGTGCTGATGATCACAAGGCGCAAATACCTTGGTGAAGACATCAGCAGTGTTGGCCTCAGAGGCCACGTACGCAAGCCGCAACTGACCACGCTGCTGTAGCTCACAAGCAAGGAAGTAGCGGAGAGCAATGTGCTTTGTTCTGTGCTCCGATCTCTGCTCTCGACACAAGGCCAGCATGGCCTTGTTGTCTTCGTACAGGACTGGAGGAGAACGAGGCGGCTCTCCAAGGTCGGTCAGCAGGTAGGTGAGCCAACGAAGCTCCTGAGCAGCCATGGCCCCTGCGTAGATCTCAGCCTCACAACTGGAGCCGAGAACAGAAGACGAGCGAGTAGCCCGCCACGAAACAGAGCCGGAACCAAGGCTGAAGGTGTAACCCTGTGACGACCGCTGCGTAGCCTGGTCGTCAGCCCAAGAAGCGTCTGCGTGACCAGTGAGGACCACTGGACTCCGCCCTCTAAGCACTAGCCCTATGCCTGACGTACTGCACAAGTAGCGCAACACCCTCTTCGCTGCAGCCATGTGCTCTGGTCGGTGTCTCCCAGGAGCAACATAGCGTGCGAGAATGCTAAGAGGGTATGCAAGGTCAGGTCGTGTGCAGGTCATCAGGTACATGAGGCACCCAACAAGCTCTGGGTATGGGCCACTCGACTCTACGCACTCATCCGAAGGCAGAGCTGAGAGCGAGTGGCGAGTAGACAGAGGAGTGGCCTGAGGCGAGGAGTACGTGAAGCCGAAGCGCTGAAGGACCTGCTACACCATGTGTGACTAAGTCAGGGTGATGGTGCGGCGTGCTCTGTCCCGGGTGATCTGCAAGCCAAGGTAGCTGCGCAGTTCACCCAGGTCTGTGCACGTGTGTCTCTTCTGCAGCTCGGACTTCACGTAGGCGAGTCCAGCAGTGTCAGCTGTGGCAAAGACCAAGTCGTCGACGTACACGAGGATGTAGAACGGCGGCAGAAAAGGGTCGGTGCGTAGAAACAGCGACGGGTCGGCAGTAGAGGGAGCAAACCCAAGAGCCGCAAGCGTAGTCCTCAGTGTGTCGTGCCACTCACGCGGTGCCTGGCGGAGACCGTAGACTGGCCGCCGGAGGCTCCACTGGGTGCCAAGAGGAAAAGTCCCAGTGAAGCCAAGTGGGCGGCGCAGCCAGATCTCCTCGTGCAGGCTGCCCTGCAGGAAAGCAGTGCTGAAGTCAAGAGAGTGAAGCTCGTAGTCACGCTGAGCAGCTACGTGCAGTAGTACCCAAAGAGTGGTCATCTTCGGGGTGGGAGAGAAGGTCTGAAAGTAGTCAAATCCCTGCCGCTGACTGAAGCCACGAGCCACGTAACGCGCCTTGAAGACAAGCCGAGAACCCGGCGGCCGCTTCACCCTGAAAATCCACATGCCACTGACGATGTTCGCCCCAGGAGGGGGGACAGTGTCAACGTAGGTGCCTGTGGACTTCCAGGAAGCCATCTCTGCATCCATAGCTGCCTGCCACTGAGAAGAGTAGGGACCCTCTATCGCCTCCGCGTAAGAGCGCGGAGTCGGGATGTCAAGTGCCTCCGGGTCTCCCTCAGGGGTAAGCAGTACGGACACAAGATGAGGTGAAGCAGCGGCCAAGCACTGGAACTCCTCCTGCCTGTCCTCAAGGACGTCCGTGCCAAGGGCACACTCACCCCCGACGGACAGAGGACAGACAGACTCAGACTCAGCGACAAGACTAGCAGCGTAGTCTAGACGACAGCGAGCAGCAAAGTCGACGAGCTCAGCAACTAGGGCAGACGCAGCAGTGGACTCAAAAGAAGGGTTAGTGACGAGAGTAGCAAGGAGACGCGTGACAGTAGTACTGGCAGCATGAAGAGAGTCCGACTCCGGGTCGGGAAGAGCAAGAAGAGAGGACTAAGGAGGAGAAGGTAAAGGGACACGCAGAGGAGCAGTGGATGGACGCAGAGACATCCGGTGCGTGCCAGGGACAGGAGGAGGACGCTGACGCGAACCGCAACCACTAGTGCGAGCAGTACGGACAGGCGACGCAGAGCGAGACGCAGGCTCACGACGCTCAGCAAGACCTCCAGTACGGCCAGTGTAGGGAGAAGGAGCAGGCAGTGGGAAGGCGGGCTGTAACTGTAACCGTGACTGGACAGGCTGTGGACACTCTAAGGGAGGAGGAGGACCAAGAGAAGGCGGGAGACCAAGAACCTGCTGAAGGAGCGGAACGAAGTACGGTCGCTGCCGTGCAGCGACTCCAGAACCAGCAGAGACACCAGCGCCAGGGTCCTCCGCACCAGCAGCAGCTCCAACGCCCGACTCCACAGCACCAGCAGCAGCACCAGCTCCAGGGTCCTCAGCACCATCAGCAGCTCCAACGCCCGGGTCCTCAGTACCAGCAGCAGCACTAGCGCCCGGGTCCGCAGCACCAGCCGTAGCTCCAACGCCCGGGTTCGCAGCACCAGAAACAGCTCCAACCTCTGGGGCCGCAGCACCAGCAGAACTAGTAGAGTCTCTAGCACCAGTAGCACCACCAGCAGCAGCGGGGTCCGCGACACCAGGCGCGCCACTCCAAAGAGTGCAGCGCCGCTCGTACCACTCACGGATCAGCTCACGGGAGGGGAGCTCCCGGGTAGGAGGAGAAGCACTAGCACCAGTCCCAGTAGTACGCCTGGCTCCAGAGGTACCTCTTCTGAGCCTGCAGTACTGTAAGTACCACTCACGCAGCTGCCGAGGAGAGGGCTCCGCCAGGTGTAGGACCCTCAAGCTCAGGACCTCCAGACTCAGAACCCCCAGACTCCGGACTCTGCGGCTCAGCACCCCCAGGCTCAGTACTCCCAGGCTCAGCACCCTCAGGCTCCGCACCCCAAGGCTCAGCACCCCCAGGCTCCGCACCCCCAGGCTCCGCACCCCCAGGCTCCGCACCCCCAGGCTCCGCACCCCCAGGCTCCGCACCCCCAGGCTCTGCACCCCCAGGCTCCGCACCCCCAGGCTCCGCACCCCCAGGCTCCGCACCCACAGCAGGACAAGAGTCGACAGCTACCTCAACAGGCTCAACCGGGTCTACCTGAGACACACCTGAGGGAGCGGCACCCTGAGGGGGGAGGGGGTCTACGACAGCAGCACCTAGCGCGAGGAAGAGAGGCGGGGGGGGGAGCGGGGCAGTGCGGTAGGGGAAGAGGCGGTAGTAGGGGACGGACTCGTCAAAAGTGACGTCCTGAGAGGGCAAGACTCGACGCGAGGTGGCATGGTAAAACTGCCAACCAGGCGCGTCCGGGACAAAGCCGAGGAAGACGCAGGGAACAGCACGGGAGGAGAGCTTGTCCGCAGACGTATCGCGGACAAAAGCTCGAGATCCCCAGACCCGGAAACGCGACGCATCGCCAACCTCCCCCGTCCACAGCAGTGTGGGCGAGGTCTCCGGCAAGGAGACACGGGGCCAGAGGTTGAGATGATGCGCAGCGTACCGTACCGCAAACGGCCACAGAAAGTGGGGGGCAGCCGCATGGATCAAGGAGGTACGGGCGACCTCCATGACCAGGCCAATGCGGCGCTCTGCAATCCCATTCTGATGTGGAGAGGCCGGAAGCGTGAACGACTGCTCAATGTCGTGCTCAGCACAGTAGGCTTCCAAGAGGTCGGAGGAGAACTCACCACCTCTGTCAGAGTGCAAGCGCAGGACAGGAAAGTCCGAGTGGAAACGCTCGCTGAGCTGGAGACGGGCTCTGCGGATCCAAGGGATCAAGACATCAGGGACCTCACCCTTGGTGCGCAAGGGGAAGACCGTGGTGTAGCGCGAGTAGTCGTCAACAACTATCAGGAAGTACCTCTCCTGACCCTGACCACGGACGCGGGCTGGGCCCCACACGTCCATGTGGAGCGTCTGCAAGGGAGCAGTCGTCGGGGGAAACGAGGAGGAGTGAGAAGCGGCGCGCTGCCGCCCCTCGACGCAGGGAAGACAGGGAGGAGCAGGCGAGGGTGGGAGGGGAGGGAGGACTCTGGGAAGACCGGAGACAAGGTACCGGGAGTGCATGGCACGAAGGCGCTGCACAGACGGGTGGCCAAGTCGGTGGTGCCAGAGGACAGTCTCGTGCGCCAGAGAGCGACACGAGCAGGGGGCAGACAGCTGACCTGACGCGGACGCAGACGCAGACGCAGCGACCTCAGGGGACTCAGTGGTCAGTGTGTACAGGTCCGACCCCGGCTGCCGAGTGAAGGTAGCCAAGTGGCGGCCCGTACGAGCACACGTGCAGTGTGTCACGCGCTCGTAGGCAGGGGTGAACTAGTGAACACCCCCGTCCTGGAGTGCACTACCTGCCACCAAGTTCGTAGAGAACGAGGGGAGGTGGAGACCTGACAGTGTGCCCGACGGGACCACAGGACAGGGAAGGACAGTGGAGGAGGTCGCAATGACCGGACCCCCAGAGGGGTCAGCGAGGGAGACAGCAACTGGCCGAGCAAGCGGCTCAAGGGCAGTGCGGTCACGAAAGAAGCAGCGAGGAGCACCTGAGTCCAGTGTGAAGGTGTGCAGTGCTGCGGTCGACTCAGTACCAGGGGGGGCATACGCACAAGCACCTAGAGCAGCTGCCTCACCAGCACCTCGGGTAGCAGACACGCGAGTACCTGGAGCGGCAGACGCACTAGTCCTAATGCCTGGGTCGGGCAGCACACACAGGTACTCAGCACCCTCTCCACTAGTAGACATCACATACATAGCAGTGAGAATAGCATCAAAGTCTAGAGCATAGATATCAATCCCCTTCTTCAGGAGATCAACCCAGCGGGGCAGCTCAGTGGCCTGAGGGAACTGAACACGCCAAGCGTCGTTGAGACGAGCGAAGCAGCGCTGTGTGGCGTGCGGTCCCCCACACGGCTGACCAGTGCGGTCACCAGTGCGAATGACGTACGTGCAGCTAAAGCCACCCCCCCCCCCCCCCCCCCCCTGTGCTGAGAGTACCACTCACGGACCTCCTGGGGCGACGGAGTGTGCTGCTGGCTCTGGCCACCGCCAGCGCCTCCACGACCACCACCGCCGCCGCCACCTCCTCGACCACCCCAACCCCTGCCGCCGCCGCGTCCACCGCCACCCCCACCACCGCCTCCGCCCCTGCCACCTCCCCCGCCGCTGCTGCCACCACTCCCACCGCTGCCACTAGCCCCTCCAGTCGCGCCACCACCCCCACCGCCGCCACCGCCCCCACCACCGCCTCCCCCGCTGTCACCGCCACCGCCCTTGCCCCCTTTGCCCTTGCCGCTGCGGCGCCCTTCGAAGCAGACGCAGTCCCGACCTTCTCAGCACCAAGGAGGTCGACAGCAGCAGCAGAGGCGACAGAGGGAAGAAGGGGGGAAGGAGAACACCCCTCAAAGAACGGGGTACGGGGGTCGCCACGAGAGGCACCTACAGCGACTATGCTAGCCTCAGCTGCAAGGAGTTCCTTCTCGAGGAGGGCAATGGTGAGCTCAGTGGGGCAGCGAGCTAGGAAGTGGTCCCTGACTGAGCGCAGAGTGTCAGGGAGGCGGGTGACTAGGTGGTAGAGAGTGAGCCAGAGTGGGGGTGGGTTCTTGGCAAGGAACTCATCAGGCATGGCGGCGCGGAAGCGAGCCTCACTAGTGCGGAGGTGCGTAATGACGTCAGCGTCTGTGTGGAAAGAGGCTAAGTCGGGGAACAGGTAGGGAAGAGAGAGACGGCCTAGTGCGGCAGAGGCCGGTGAGGAGTAGCAGGCAACGACAGCATTGTACAGTGCCTGTGCAGTCTTGTGCTGCCCAAAGTGCTTGCGCTCATCTATCGGCAGGGAGTTGCGAATAGCGAAGCGAGCGTGGGCGTCACGAGTCTGCCACTGTGAGCGGGCAGTGCTGTCAGCAGTAGCAGCAGGAGCAGGAGCATGGCCTAGGGCGTGATCGTACAGTGAGATGTCCTCCTTAGCAGTGAGCTGTAGGAAGAGGTGTAGGTCATCTAGCCAAGTTTCGAACTTCACTGGGCGGCCCTCAGCATCGAAAGCCAGTACAGGAGGGCTAGCCGTAGCAGTAGTAGGAGTAATAGGAGTAGGGGCACCCCAAAAACAGTAGGCAGTGCGACTCAGGTAGGGCGGCTCGGTCCAGTACGGGCGGCGCGGCTCGGTTCAGGTAGGGCGGCGCGGCTCGGGAAGGGCGGCGCGGCTAGGTTCGGGCGGCGCGGCTCGGTTTGGGCTGGGCGGCTCGGTTCGGGCGGCTCGGTTCGGGCGGCTCGGTTCGGGCTGGGCGGCTCGGTTCGGGCGGCTCGGTTCGGGCTGGGTGGCTCGGTTCGAGCTGCTCGGGTCGTAAGGGGCCGCTAAGGGCGAGCGCGGGGCCGATCGGGCCCTAAAAAAACGGTCCTAGCGAAGGACCTGCTCTGATACCATGTTGAAATGAACGAACAGGAATGATTGAACTAACAGTGAAATCAGTACAAGTACCTAACCCTAGAATTGTGTACCCCCTATAGGCTAACCCAGTGTAGCCTAAACAAGCACAACATATATAACGTTTGACATTTCCCATTACTGATCTACGGGAAAATACAGGGAGCAGCAGTGAAGATTTTTATCGTCAGGGGAGCAAGTCACAGTTTAGTTAATACCGCGACCGCACGGAAACTACAACTGACACTTAGCCGGTGTTTACCCGAGATAGATGCATGCTTAGTTGACGGCACGCCACTGGCCATACGTGAGAAGGTGGAAAGATTAAAAGTCCGATGCGGGGGGAACTTCGGGTTTACACAGGAAATGCTCTCGACGACACTGGATGGGCATGAAATTTTACTGGGACGTGATTGGCTGCGACGGTATAACCCGCGAGTCGACTGGACGATGGGTAGCTGCACTGAGTGAAGTAGCGGTAACTGGGTTGAACTACCTCGCTGGCAGTCGCCTGAGTCTTCAACGGTCCACGTCAACGCCATCACAATGAAATGGGTTGTCGCCGCTGGAGCTGAAGTGTACGCAGTAGACATTGCAGTGGTAGAGGAAGCAGAGCAACCGAGCGATTTCAAGAAAGTGCTGACAGTAGTACCACCCGAACTACAGGAACTGTTGAAACGGTATCTGAAGATTTTTTCCGACGACTTACCGGAAGGACTGCCACCTCAGCGAGCACACGACCACTGAATTTTGTTAGAACCGGGAGCACAGCCAACTGTACAGCGACAATTCAGACTGACACAACCCGAGCTCGACGAACAAAGGAAGCAGTAAGATTACATGTTAGAGAAGAAATTCATCCGACCGAGTTCGCCACCGTTCGCCGCACCGGTACTGTTCACACCGAAAAAAGACTGAGGGTTTCGCATATGCATCGAATACAGAGCACTGAACAGGGTAACCGTTAAGTTGCGATACCCCATTTCCCGTGCCGACGAACTGATAGATCAGCTGCAAACAAAACGGGTCTTTTCGAAAATAGAGGTTACCATCAGATTCAAGTCGAACCATTGGACTGCGCCAAGACGGCTTTTAGGACTAGGAACGGGTCATTCAAGTACAGCGTGATGCCATTCGGGCTCACCAACACACCAGCGACTTTTCAGATGACCATGAACGAGGCATTTAGGCCACTTTTAGATAAATGCGAGATAGTTTACCTCGACGACATCCTCGTCTACAGTCGCGATAAGCAACAGCACTTAGCAGATCTGGAAGCCGTATTTAAAATTTTAGACAAGCATCGGCTACTTACTAAGGGTTCCAAGTGAGAGATTTTTCAGGATAGGCTAGAGTTTTTAGGGCACGTTATTTTGGAGGCTGGGGTCGAAATTGACCCAAAGAAGCTGGACACGGTAAAAGCGTGGCACCCTCCGACGAATATCACGGAGGTGCAGAGTTTTTTGGGGTTCGTAACATTACGTGCATCGGTTCGTCCCCGACATGGCACGGTTAACAGCACCACTCACATACTTACTGCGTGAGGGGGTCGTTTTACGTGGGGGGAGAAAGAGCATGCTGCCTTCTCTGCCCTGAAATTTTTTTTCTGTTCACCGCCCGTACTGCGCATCGCCGACTCACACTGCCCATTCGAAGTAGTTACAGATGCAAGCGACATCGCCATCGGATCCGTACTGCTACAAGATTTCGGCAACGGGTTACAGCCAATCGCAGAGGAGTCCCGCAAACTGCATCCGCCAGAGAAAAATTAACCGATACACGACCGCGAAATGCTCGCGATCGTGCACGCATTCAAGGTGTGGCGCTGTCACTTGACCGGCGCATACGTGACAGTACAGACAGGCCATAAATCGCTCCAGTACCTCCGCGCACAACCCCACCTCAACCCACGACAGATCCGCTGGCTCGATTTCCTCGAGTTTGATTTTCACAACACGGTTACCTACAAAAAGGGGCATCCAACATCGCTGATGCACTGACCCGCCCCACTGCCCAAATCGACACACTACTACTTGCCCAGACCAGCCCACTACTGACAGGACTATTTACCCACGGATACCAAACAGACCCGTTCTTCACAGGAGGGAATTCGCAGCAGCTCGCAGCAGCAAAATGAGTTTATTACGTAAGAGCCGGGACCGATCGCATCTGGGTACCAGGGTACACACTGCTACGGGAATTACTACTACATGAGGCACATGACGAAGTTACTTCAGGCCATTTTGGAGTAGAAAAATCACGGCATTAGCTGTAGTGGTATTATTACTGGCCAGGAACGCTGACCAACGTGCACCGACACTTGGCATCATGTCCCACCTGTTAGCTCATGAAATTATCACGGAAGCGGCCGGCAGGACAGTTGCAGCCGATACCACCCCCAGAGCGTGCTTGGCAGCATGTGACGATGGACTTGGTCATGGGGTTACCGGCCGGAGCAAGAGGGAACGTCGCGATCCTGGTTGTCATCGATCGGTTGACGAAAATGGCACACTTTGCAACTTGCAAGAAATCGATTACAGCCAAAGAAACAACCCGCCTCTTCATCACCACCGTCGTTTGACTGCACGGGATACCAGCAGCAATCATCAGCGACCGCGACATGAAATTCACCAGCAACTTCTGGCGGAACGTGTGGCAGCAGTTCGGCACACGACTACAATTTAGTTCTTCGTACCACCCCGAGACTGACGGACAGACAGAATGGACAAACCAGACCATGGAGCAGCTCATTCGAGCCACATGCGACGACCCGAGCACCTGGGAACAGCAGCTGTCACTCATCGAATTCGCATACAACAACTCGCCATCCGCCACCACCCAACAGTCACCGTTTTATATGAACTACGGACAAGACCCCACAACCCACAGTACCCATGACCCCAAATCCCGACAACTTGGTGCCACACGCACAGCAGTTCGCCGAAATTTTACAAGCAACACGAACCCGAGCAGCAGACGCAATTAAAAAATCAAACATCATCGCTAAACGCAACGCCGACCACCACCGCCGACCTGTCACTTACCAGCCCGAGGACCTAGTTTTACTCGACACCCAAAACCTCCGCCTGCCAATTACCCCAAAATTCCGCCCCCGGTATTGCGGACCATTTCGCATCAGCCATATGGTTACACCCGTCATCGACCACCTCCTCATCCCTGCCGACTGGTAAGTCAGCCCGTCATTCCACGTCAGCCTGCTTCGCCCTTACGTGCCATCCACCAGCCAACTGCCTCGCAATTGCCCAGCCAGCATGGCACGAGCGCCGACCGAGCCAATCATCACGTCCGAGAAGCTTCTGAGCCACCGAGTTCGTGACCCTCGAGGAGCTCGATGGATCGAGTTTCTAATCCGCTCGAGAGACCGTAAACCGACCGAAGACAACTGGGTCCCCCTGGACAGAATTGAAAACCACCCCGTCCTCACCGAGTATCTGCGTAGCCGAAATTTTCGGGATGTACACGCGCTTTCGTAGGGAGGGCCTCCTTAGGGGGGTGGGTAGTGTAAGGAAAGTTCCTTTTCCTTACTTCGCGTCCCTGCTCAGCGCGTACACCACTGTTCCCGCCAACAGCACCCAACAGTAATCCGTTACCACTCGTGACATTCGCCTTGACACTGTTCCCGCCACTGTTCACGACGCGACCCAACCTCACAGTTCGGTTGGTAACCCGCGCTTCGGACCTCCGCCCCGTCATTTCCCAACCTCGACTGTTGGGAAATGACGGGGCGGTCGCGCACCCCACTTTCACGCATTACCGTTACCACTATAGTTTTCGCTATATATTATTCATTCATGCTTTCGCTCATTGTACTCTTGCTTCGATAGTGCAATTCTCGTTCATTCACTCAATTGCACTCATAACACATACCCTTGCGTACTAGCAAATATGCATTTATCACTTGTGTCGTATGGAGTTATCGTGTGCATGTAATATCTAATGTCGGGTACGCGGACCTGATACAAGTTTGACTGCAACTCTCTCATCTCGCCATTCGTATTGCCACGCGGGAAGCATCTATTGCCAACGACTGAACCCGGGGCGCTGAAGAGAGTGCTCAGAGCCGTGCAGCCAGCTGAGCATTCCCAAGGCGCCTAAATTCGCGCGGGAAGTTCCTTGGTGCGAGCATTGTACGCTTGACCAGCGCTCCGCACTGTGGTCCCAAGCTCAGCCCAGACCAGCACGCGCCACGCTGGGACTGGTGGTTTGGGGTTTGGCGCAGTCGGGCACGCAAAGCCTGCTTCGGGGGAACCGCGTGAAGCTGGCTGTCTCGGTTTGCCCGCCCGCCACCCAGCCCAACTGCTCGGTTTGCGAACTTTTGGACCTCGTGTTGTTCCTTGAACCTCGATTTCCCGAACCTCCGTGTCGTTTTCATTACCCAATCAAGTGGGTATGGTCCCCGACAGCGATCAGAAAGAACATTGCTTCTCGAGAACATCAGGCGTGTGTGGTGGCGGTGAGAGCGCGCTCAGGAGACTGGCAGAGAACCATTGAGCGTGTTCAATGGTTCTCAATGGTTCTGTACGTTCAAAAGCAGTGTAGTAGAACATAAACCGGTTTAGTAGACGCCAGTGATGGCAGAAATTTTAGGGAGATTGTGGTCACTCGTCATTAGGAGCTGACTATCTGTGAGAGCTTCTGTTGAAGGACGTCTTGTTCCTTGCTTTCGATAGTGTCATTTAATTCTATTGCCTCACGCATGCTGTAGCGTGTTGCTGTTGCTGGCCTCTTTCAGAAGGCAACTAGTTGGCGGTAGTCGCTTTACACGTGAATGTTGTATCCACTAGCTGTGGTTTGAAAGAACACTCGATTGATCGCAATCCAGTTACTATTCGAGCCGAACTAAGCGAAGCCACCGCTGCGCGGCTTCCCTTGTGCCAACTTTTCCCCTTCTGCAGTGTCCTTAGAAATGTCTCAGTGCCTCCTACATTCATTGTGAACTTAGAAGCTACTGTAGTCTAATCCTCTAGTTATTTGTCGCAATTTAAATCAAGGACGCAATGAAGCCGGAAAGATCGCTGTCTTGCGATTGGCTGTCGTGCTCACTGGGGTGGGTATGGAACCATCCGCGAATGAAGAATTTCCGCAAGGTCGCCTACAACTTCAAGATGACGCTCGTCTGCGGCTTCATCACCTTCCTCGTCTTCCGCGGCACCTTCGGCGCCGGCAAGTTCGGCACGCCGTTTCAGGATGCCGAGATTCTCAACCGCGAGCTCCGGTCCTTCCAGGAGAAGGGCCTCCTCAAGGTTCGTAGCGGTTCGTATCGGTCGTGTGACTTAGTAACGAGCTGACTTTAGAGTCGATTCAAAAGTTCAGGACGCCGAGATACTCAACCACGAGTTCCGATTCTTCCAAGAAAAAGGCCTCCTCAAGGTTCATATCGGTCGTATCGCAACTATCGCGAAGCGAGTGCTTAGTTAGCTGTCCGGGATCCCGTGAAGCGCGTTTTGAAAATACACGATCGCGAGATCCGTTGAGAAGGTTTTGAGATCCGTGTTAGGAATACGATGTCGCATGGTGCGTGTGGAGACGCGGCGTTGATGGATGGCTACGACGGTGTGCTGACATTTCATGGATCGACGGGTACGACTAGGCAGTTAACATTCATGATTCGACAGCCACGATTTTGCGTATGCCTTTCGCGGAACAACAGATGATTAGGATCGGTTCCGTTCTTCGCGTCGCGCATTTATCCTAGTAGAACAATCGCACCGCCGATCGACTGACGGCTTTCGTCAGATCGCTTACTCTGGTCGTTACCGATGCAATCATGTACAGATGCAATCACGTACATCCATTCTGCGATTGGATAACGGCAATAGCCACTTTTATGTCTAATGTTCAAATAAATGATCTGGGATTTAATTACCATGGGACAGTAGCAGCCTCTCGTATCGCGCCTTATGTTTTTCTCCCGGAGCAGTAGCAGCCTTTCCCATTCTGACGCGTCAGTTCCCTCACCCCTCTCCGCTTATAGTGCCCAGTAGAAACTGCCGCTGCATAGCCCACAGTATACTTGAACCTCGTGTTTTCACGAACGGATTCGTTCTTCTAGGCAGATTTTGCAATCTTACCGCTCGTCAAATCGCCAGTGCACTTTGTCAAGCTTGATAACCGAACCGTTGGGCGAATGAAAATCATCTGAGTCTCTTCGTGCTTTCCGGCGCTGCCAGTCACGGGAATAGATGCGCGCTTTCACGACTAGTGGTCCTTTCTTCCCTGATCCACCCGTCACTTGCTTGCGATTCCTTCCTTCCTCTGGTCACTCTTTGCCAATCCCTCCGTCTCTCGTTTGTCTCCGCCCCCTCTCCCGTTCCCGCGTTAGATTCTCTGCCCTGCTGCACTGTTTTCCGAGTCGTCTCAAATATCCATCTCCCCTGTCCCCGCTGCCACGTGGCAGTCGCGGGAGAGCCAGCTGCTCTTCCTGCAGGACAAGTTGGTGGACCGAAACTCGCCGTACCGCGTCGGGCCCAACATCACAGGTACGACCGATACTGCCGGCTGGCTCCTGCTGCGCTCGTTGAGACTCTGTCGTTGCTGCACTTCCCGTCCCGCCAGTTCTTGCCCCCATCCTCCTATTCTCCGTCGATAACCCGCCACGCTCTTCCCAAACCCCGCTCCCGTTCCGCTTGCCCCTTCCCTCTTCCCCCTCTGCTTCCCACCGCCTTCTTCCCCCATGCGCCGAGCTCATACCGCTCTCTCACTCCGCCGCAACCCACTATGATCTCCCTCCCTCCTTTCCCCCCCGTTCCCCCTTCCTGTCCCCCTCCTCCCCTTCTGTCCGCGCTTCTCCCCTCCCCCCCACTCACAGACTGGGACGAGCAGCGCGCGGAGCACATAGCCTTGAATCCCGGGTGTAACTCCACCAATGACGGGCGGCCACGTGTCATGATCGTGTCGACTTCCCAGCCGAAGCCGTGCGAGCACAGCGTGGGCGACCATTTCCAGCTCTTGTTCCTTAAATCGAAGCTGGACTATGCGCGTACGCACGGCATGGTGGTATACCACCACATGGTCCGGCTGGACAAGGAGATGAACGGCATGTGGGAGAAGCTGCCGCTGCTGCGCCGGCTCATGCTCGCGCACCCCGATATAGAGTGGTTCTGGTGGATCGACTCGGACTCCATTATAACGGGTACGGTGGGTCGTGGGCGGCAAGGGAACGGGTTGGCGGGAGGGGGAGGGAGTGGGGAAGCGGGTAGAGGGAGTTTCCGAAAGTGAGAGGGAAGGGAATGGAGGGAGTTTCCGGGAAACAGGCGCTTGCGGGCTACCAGGAAAGGGTGACACGGCGATGCAGACGTGCGCGCAAAGAGACTTCAAGTTTGAGGTGCCATGCGCATGCGCAAGGACATGAGCAAAACATCGCTTCCGCTGACCTCATTCCTCCCGCCAATCCCTCCCGTTGCCTCTCCTTCTCCCTTTCCCCCACTCTCTCCTCCTCCACCCCCACCCCCTCCCCCTCCCCCTCCCCCTCCCTCTCGCCCTCGCCCTCGCCCTCCCTTCCCCCTCCCCCCTGTGCGCGCAGACATGAAGTTCGAGCTGCCGTGGCGCAAGTACAAGGATGTGAGCATGGTGGTGCCGGGGTGGGACGACCTCGTGTACAAGCACCGCGACTGGTGAGCGAAGGAAGTGGCAGAGAGAGCGGAGGATGGGTGCGTGCAAAAATTGGTGCGCGCAGAGTAGCGGAGTAAGGAGAGAGAGCGGGGGAGTTCGTTGCGGTTTCCACTAGGCGGCTTTATCGTTCGCTCATATGTAACCTCTCACCCTCCTCGCATTGCCCCTGGCTGTGCCCCCCTCCACCTTCCCCCGTCCCCCCGTACCACAGGGTGGGCCTCAGCACCGGAAGCTTCCTCCTGCGCAACAACCAGGTGAGCGCCCCCCCTTCTGCCCCTCGCCCTGCATATCCCTCTCACCTTGCCCTGCCGCTCCCCCTCCGTTTCCCCTGCTACTCCCGTTTCTGCGGCCTGTTACTCACTGGAAAGAGCAGCTCACGATGCAGCTCACGATGCAGCTCACGATGCAGCTCGCGATTCAGCTCGCGATGCAGCTCGCGATGCAGCTCGCGAAGCAGCTCGCGATGCAGCTCACGATGCAGCTCGCGATGCAGCTCACGATGTCTTTGTGTCTCACGTCATCGCGAGCTGCTCTTTGCTTATATCGCGCTCATCTTATGCTCTCATCTACTTCTCTTTCGCCCTCTCCCCCTACTCTCTCCCCTCCTGTGCAGTGGTCTCTTGATCTGCTCGCCAAGTGGGCCGCCATGGGCGCAATTCCCCCTGCATCACCCCCGCCATCTCCCCCTCCCCGCCCTCCCCTTTCCCCCGTTCTCCCCCTTCCACCCTTTCCCCCCCTGCAGTGGTCGCTGGATCTGCTCGCCAAGTGGGCCGCCATGGGCGCGAGGGGCAGAGCCAGGGAGGAGGCGGGCAGAGTGCTGACGGCGCAGCTCAAGGTGAGCTTCTAAGGCGGGTGGCACAGTGCACGTATGTGATGCTCGGGGTGCGTTGAGGCGAGAGTTGAGGGCGCAGTGTTCTACTCATCTCTCTCATCTCTGTCATCTCTCTCTCATCTCTCTCACATCTCTCTTTCTCATCGCTATCTTCTCTCCCAATGTCGGCCTGAGTTTGAGGCAGATGATCAGTCAGCACTGGTGTGGCTGCTGGTGTGCCAACACAGTGTTCTCCTCCCTTACCCATGCCCTCTCCCTCTCTTATCTCCCCCTTCACCTCTCCCAGGCCGGCCTGAATTTGAGGCAGACGATCAGTCGGCGCTGGTGTTGTTGCCGCTGTGCCAGCAACAGTTTCTTCTCTTACCCCATGCCCTCTCTCTCATCTCTCTCTCATCTCTCTCTCATCTCTCTCATCTCTCTCATCTCTCTCTTCCACCTCTCCCAGGGCCGGCCAGAGTTTGAGGCGGACGATCAGTCGGCGCTGGTGTGGCTGCTGGTGAGCGGGAGGGAGCGGTGGGGCAGGCACGTGCACCTGGAGAGCAAGTTCTACCTGCACGGCTACTGGGTCAACCTGGTCAACAGGTGCGTTGACCTGGTCAACAGGGGGTCAACGGGGTCAATAGGGTGAGCGGGAGGGAGCGGTGGGGCAGCCAAGTGCACCTGGAGAGCAAGTTCTACCTGCACGGCTACTGGGTCAACCTGGTCAACAGGTGCGTTGGCAGCATGGGGTGGAAGGAGGGGGGGGGTCGCCATGTTCCGTTTGTTTCTCCTCACCCGCTCTCCTTTCCCTTTGTCGTTCCTCCCCTTCCCCAGGTTCGAGGAGATGATGGAGCGGTTCCATGCTGGTTTCGGCGATGACCGGTGGCCGTTCCATCTCTCTTATTCCTCCACTCGTTATACTAATTTCCGCCTTCGCAAATCCCCTCGTCTCTCCCCCAGTTCGAGGAGATGATGGAGCGGTTCCATGCTGGCTTCGGCGACGACCGGTGGCCGTTCAACTTCTCGTTTTCATCCACCCATCACCCTTGTCTCCCCTCTTGCCCTTGATTCTCTCTCCCCCAGGTTTGAGGAGATGATGGAGCGGTTCCATGCCGGCTTCGGTGACGACCGGTGGCCGTTTGTGACTCACTTCGTGGGGTGCAAGCCGTGCGGCAGCATGGGCGAATACGACGCTGCCAAGTGTCTCGTGCACATGAAGCGCGCCGCTGTATTCGCTGACAACCAGGTGATAAAACCGTACGGATTCACTCACCTGCACCTGAACAGCAGCGTTGTCGTTCCGCTGGTGAATGTGACGACCCGGGCGTGGATAGCTGAGACGCACTATGAGAGGAAGCAGCAGCAGGTTGCTGAGAAGAGGAAGAAGCAGGCTGAGGAGAAGGAGAGGTTGGAGCAGGAGGCGAAGAGAATGGCTGAGGAGCAGGAAAAGTGGAGGGAAGAGGAGGAGACGAGGAGGAAGGAGGAGGAGGCGTGGCGGGAGAAGGAGGACGAGAGGCAGAGGAAGATTGAGGAGGGCAAGAGAATCGAGGAGGCAAAGATGGCAGCGGAGAGAGAAGCAAAGAAGAAGAAGCAGCAGGAGGGGCAGGAGCGGAAGGAGGGGAAGGCTCGGAAGGTTGCAGTGGGAGGGGCGGGACAAGGGAAGAACGGTGCAAAGGGAGCGGCTGCTGTTACTGTGAAGAATGTGACTGTACCGATTGGGAAGAAGGGTATTCCGGAGATTATAGTGGATGAGGATGAGGAGGAGGAGGAGGATGAGGAGGAGGAGAGTGTGCAGGACAGGAGGAAGATTGGGCTGACTAAGGCTGTTATGAGGCAGCAGCGAGCTGCTATGGCCCGCGCTGTGGTTGCTGCTAGCGCTGAGGACGAGGAGGAACGGGAGGAGGAGGAGAGAGGGGGTGTGGAGAAGGGGGATGAGAAGGGGAGTGAGAAGGGGAGTGGGGAGGGGAGTGAGGAGGAGAGTGAGGAGAGTGGAAGGGAGAAGGGGTTGGGGGGTAGCAGGTGCTGGGAGGAAACCGGAGAAGGATGAGGAGGGTGAGGATGAGGAGGAGGCGGAAGAGGAGAGGTTGGACAGGGAGAGGGAGAGGAGAACGAGTGTGAAGCTTGATGCTAGTGATGAGACTAGTGCAGCAAAGGAGGGTAGTGAGGAGAATGAGGAGGGAGATGAGAAGGGACGTAGTGAGAAGGGTGTTGGTTTGAGATCAGTGCTTGAGGATAGGGAGGAGGCACAGGAGGGAGATGGTGCAACAGCAGAGGAAGCAGAGAAGGTGGGATTGAGCAATGAGGAGGAGAGGGGTGGTTTGAGAGGTGAGGATGAAGGAGAGGAGAGGGGAGGTGAGGAGGTTGATGATGTGGAGTGATATGCCGATTGCGTGACCTGTGAAGTTGGATGTGTGATGTGAGCGGTGCTTGATAGCTCGCCTGCCGCAGAGCAAGTAGATGCTTAGTCAGGGGCAGTAGGCAGCAGGCCACAGCCCAGCAGCGCAAGGCCTCAGGTGGAAGGTTGACTGTTGCTGTGTAGAGGTAGGAGATTAGCGTAGTGTTTTGCCCTACCAAGCACCAATGCGACAAAAGTGGATGTTGCCTCTGTTTCGCTGATAATAAACATGTAGAGGTATTTATTTGCGCTTTATATTTATATTTAGCCGAAGCCTGCTGTGATGGCCATCTTGATGAAGTTGGACACAAAAAACTACCATTCAGTGCGGCTGTGGTGGTGGTGCTGTGATGGTCGCCTTTTATTGAAGGAATGGAGATTCAAGCACACACCTCGAGAAGTTGTCCATTTATCGGATGGTTTGCGGATATCATTGAGGACATTTTCCTATGCGTGAAATCTTATAACGAGAGTGGCTTTCTGCCGGTCACGATCCTCCTGATCTGTCTTTCGAGCACAGCTTTGACTGGTGCTTGCGTGTTTGTGACGTGGAAGTGATGGGTTGGTCTGAGATAGACAGCCGCAGAAGGAGATTCTTGATTCTAAATTAGCGGTAGAATCTTCATGTTGAGGCAGCCACTTCTTTGCCGTGTCACACCACCTTCGACGGCGGGTGCTAGCTCCAAGTATCTTGGAGTCCAGTCTCACCGTCTATGTAGAAAAGTGCTTGTGCGTGCCCAGCAAATGTGGAATTTTGGCCGATTGGTGCAAGTGTACACGAGAATGAGTTTGCGCAATCGTTTGTTGTTCCTGCTGGGTTCTTGTTTGCAATCAAGACCTCAGATCAAGATGCCCCGAAATGTTTTAAAGTTAACGATGAAACTGCATGCTGCTTTTCCAGGCGTGCAGATGTCTTTTATCAGCCGTTCACTGTTGGTCTCACCGTTCAACCGTATTGGTCGACCGTACGTGACCTGGGCATGCCTCCTGTAAATGAGCGGACTGGATGCATTCGAGGTCACAGCCACCCCTGACCATTCACTTTAGATAATAAATTCACTACCAAACAAAATGAACAGCTTTCTTGTGAAATTTGTGGCTGGAATGTGGATTCGATCACCAGCATGCAGCAAGGACCTTTTGCGCCTCGAAAGCTTGAGGCCGTCGAAATGTCTATCCTTGGAGCACAAGATTCGCCCTGCCCCCACCACTAATTCCACCTCAGGAAGCTCGTCTGCCATGCTCTCTGCCGTCGATACACCATGAGAGACTCCGTCCGACATAAAAGCATTCTTCCGCGGTTCGGTTCTGGGCTGCAGCAGCCTGCCCAGATATCGATTTTCGCATTGTGGCTGCCAACGTTCCACCGCGCCTCTCACCCACATTGGCTTCAATGTCCTGTCCTGGGTAACTTGCCCACCAGGAGTCGGTTCACGAGTGCCCTGAAAAATGTCCAGGCGTTGTTCACGTGATGTGAAGGTATGCTCCCGATACGGTTCAATAGTGAAGGTGGGACTGATGGTGTAGAGTTCAGTCCTGGTTTAAAAAAAATCAGTTGACGCTGAGCTAAAAGTCGATTCCCATTCGCCCGTTGATATCCTCGACTTGTGCGGCCACCATCAACTCAAAGCTGCTGACTCCGCGGACCTTTGGGCGACCTCTACCTTCCACACAATATGCCACACTCGTTCCCGCCCCATTCTATCTCACCCTATCGCCAATCCCATCTTATCTCTCATCACCCCGCGTTCTATCCTGTAACCGGTGGTGGTAACCTCGGCCATATGCGATTCCATTGAACGGTTACCATTGGAAGCAAGCTGGCTGGACTCTGTGTACCCATCTCACTGTCGTTCCAAGCATGGCTAGCCGCACCACCTACCCCTCCACGTCGCCTCGCCCAACCCAGCCCAGAGAACTCACTCACTGAACCGCCAGCTCGTTCCTTCGTTCTTTCAATCGTTCACGAATCACCAACGACCTCTTTCCGCTTATAAGTATCACTCTCCTGCCATTAACCAGTTGATTTCTAGCATAGTCCTCAGTTGTTTGTCAACCACCCTCACAACGGCCTTTTTCACGTGATTGATAACCGCTTACTCAACTGACTATCATAGTAACGCATAGGCTAGTTTATTTCCTCGCAATAGCGTTTCGCCTCGCTTGTGCCGCGCAGCAACCATGCCGAAGCCGTGCGAAGCGTGTCAATTGAGCGCGGCTTTAATCTTCTGCAGAGCCGACTCGGCGTATCTCTGTCTAGCGTGCGACGGCAAGGTGCATGGCCGCGAACAAGCTCGCCTCTCGCCACGAGCGAGTGGTGGGTCTGCGAAGTTTGCGAAATGTCGCCGGCCGCGGTAACCTGCAAAGCCGACGCTGCGGCTCTTTGTGCGACGTGCGACGCCGACATTCACGAGGCGAACCCACTCGCGAATCGCCACGAGCGCGTTCCCGTCGTCCCGTTCTACGAGTGCCCTTCGTCGATCAAAAACTGTAAACCGGCCTGCGTAC